GAAGGTTGTATTTCTCAGAGGGGGACAGTTTTAAAGTGGTTTATAAAAATGGGAAGAAACACAAAACAATGGTGAACAATTATTACTAAAGAAGATTAAATGACCAAAGGAAGTGATCCTGGATTGGAAATACTCATTTAGTAGAAAAGATTGCTTCCCTTGCAGATAACATAGCATTAAAGTTAAGTAAGCCCAAGGGAGGGCCGATTTCACTGGTATCTTTTAGAGAAAATGAGGGGAGGTGCTGGCCCTCATTTAATTTCATCAACCGCCCCCTTCCCTACACACACACACACACACACACACACACACACACACACAGCTCTGTTCCTTTCTAAGGGAAATGATGATCAGCTCAAGTCCACACAGGACTCTGGGGACGTTCATTCTAAAGACATGACCCAATCTTCTATACCCGACTCGCTGAGTTAATGAGGCTAAGATTGGCATATATTTCCTCTTTTCAAGTATTAGATAACATTTTAAATAGGATATGCAGCATAATCCCTGGAGTCATATTAACTTGCGCTCTAAATGCAAGTCATTACAGTATTTCAAGATGCGAGTCCTCTGATCTGCCACATGCAGTCTGTGAGCTGCAGCTGCAGCTTGTGGGCCGTAGTTACTGCTGACACCAGGCTTACATGAAAGCGAGCACTCCGACCAGGTATTTTCTCTCTGCTATTTCAGCTCTCTATAAGTAGCTCTTCATCTGAGCCAGTATTTCAATGTCGAATTTGATTCCTTCCAGAGTGTCCTTCACCTTTTTGAGAAACCCCTCTCACTCCAAGCCACAGCTGTTAGGACAAGCGGAAGTAATCAAGGGCCTGGGTCTACAACCAGACAGCAGCCACATGGTACATGGATGTGCCCTTGTCTCCTGCTTGCTGACTATACCCGATAGAGTGTCGAAGTTCTTGTACTGTAGATTATCCTATACTGCTAAGACACTGGTTGAAAATAACTGTAGGTTTTAGATGCCTGAGTGTTGGCCTGCTAACTGCAGGGTCAGCAGTTCAAAACCCACCAGCTGCTCAGAGGGAGAAAGACAAGACTATCTGCTCCCATACAGATTTACAGCCTTGGAAACCCTAATAAGGGTCTCTGTGAGTCAGAATCCACTGGTGGCAGTGGGTGGTGATGGTGGTAGAGTGTACTCAGGTAAAGCGGGGTGTTTGCAGTCGGATCGGGGCAAAAAAGGCACGAGGAAAAGAAGGCGAGGTGCTCCAGAAGAGCTCGCCCGCTGTTTGGCTTTTGCAAACAACGCCCAGAAGGCTGGGGCAATGGCTGCCATTTTTATTCCAA